AACTGTTAAAACTCCAACCAATTCCTTATCGGGAAAGAAGAGCAAAGGCCAAACCATCACGTGAAAAAAATATTCATTACAACGGTGATGCTATGTAACAAAGTGATATAGTATAACTAACNCCAACATAAGGTTTAAAAAACGTTTACATTCTATCCCAATTTGCTCAAGTCGGTTAATGGATTGATGCATTCTAAACATTTTGGGTTGCTTAAAACGCGTCAATTAAACTGACGTTTTCAAGTTGAATAGCTGACGTTTTGTAAAATTGCATATTGTTAATAATTAAGTTGAAGATTGCCTTATTTTGAGAAATAATTTTTCAAACTAGCTGAGCATGATAAAAAGCTTTGAAGTAACATAAACATTTTAAGATTAATGAAAATGAGATGTGGTGATGGCTACTCGCCACCTATAGTCCTTATGTGCACGAACTTGGAAACATGCTCACACTAATGTCATCTTCATAATTTGGAAACTAGCTATCTACAGACATGAGTTGTCTTTAGCTATAATATGTATCACGTTGGATGTACAATTACAAATTGGTCCATTTATGCTACTAGTACTTGGGTTCAATAAATTCCGATCCAAAATACTCAGCCACAAAAAGTGAATGATTGCATTGTTATTTATGCAATGAGATCATCGAATCTTAATTGATCAAATTTTAGTGTACACACAATGAGATAATGTCGAATTACTTTGGATCAAATTCATCGTTTGAATTTGGGTTAGAGACCAGAGATTGAATTCATACAACTAAAAATTCTTTTAGCTCAAAGTGATGAACTTAGTCACTTGATTCGTCTAAAATAGATCATACTCTCTCGCTTCGCACGCGAATTCGCGATTGATAGTGAATCCGTAACAAATTCGCGCTCTAAAAAATTTGAATTCGCAAATTCAAATTATTAATACACGAATTTAATTTAACTGTTAAAACTCCAACCAATTCCTTATCGGGAAAGAAGAGCAAAGGCCAAACCATCACGTGAAAAAAATATTCATTACAACGGTGATGCTATGTAATAAAGTGATATAGTATAACTAACTGATAATACTAAAACAAATAAATATATAGACTCTACAAAAATTAATAACTAAAATTATATGTAAATAAATAATTTCTTACCCTCCTTTGAGTTTTATTATTAATTAATAATATTATATCATCATTAATGATATAATATCACCATTGATAAAAAATAGTTACCACAATATTGATAAAAATACTCACTAAAGTGATAAATCACTAACAAAAATAATAATTTTTTTAATTATAAAATAATTCAATGATTATTAAAACAGGCATTCAAATATTAAATTTTAGAGGTAGAGTACCAAATTTTTTAAGTATCGTAGCCAAGTCCAAGATATTTTTATCTATGAAATCCAAAAAATATCTGATGATACACAAAATAGACTTATGCAATATTAAAGGTCTAGTGGATGATGCAAGAGAATTAATGAAATAATTAATGAAGCATTCAATGACAAAAAGGTAAATATTGGATCAACATACATGTATATAGTGGTTCAGTCAGAGTGACCTACTCCATTATGAGAAACAACGACGATGGTTGGAGAACTTTTACTGATAAAGTAAAATGAGAAAGAGATAGAGAGAGAGCAAATGTTAGCTCCGGAAGAGATACAATAGTTACGAGAGAGCAAAAAAGTTATGTGAGGAGTATGTAGAGAGATGTAGAGATTCTCTTCTTCATAAAAAAAACTTACAATTTATAGACATAAAACCTTACTTGAGAAGGTGATTTGAAGGGAAAGACACTAATTTTTCGAAAAAAATAGTTACAAAAAGTAAGTATAATTAAATGGTGAATTGATCTTCGAGAGTGGATATCACAATGATTGCTCTTTACGTATTTTAATCTTCTAAAATTCCTTGTACTTTGAACTGGTTCGAATTTACGAACTAAATTTGACTTACCTTTTAATTGATTTGAGCTTACTTGATTTATTGCATCTAACCTAATTAAATGTGAACTCGTTAATGTCCAAGGTATCCTATTCGTACGAATCTGACCTCTAAACTGTCATTGGAAGAAAAATAGACTTGTTTTGTATTTTGCTATTTTGGACAGTGTTATATATATATGGTATCAAAAATTATTTTTTAATATCATAAAAAAATAATTTCTTACAATTAATCTTCGTTTGATTTAATTTTGACCATTGATCATAGAAATATATTTTAACTAAAATAAAAATATTTACACATATTGAATTTTTTTATTAAACTAAAAAAGAGATATGATACCAAAAAATTTCAATATTATAGTCAAATTCTTGTTTTTATAAAGAAATAATTTCTTAAAGGTAGTTTCACATTAAATCCATCACTATTCGGCGATGCCCGAATATTTGTAATCGATTATTAATTATACAGATATCATTTAAATTCGTGAGTCGTTAATGAGAAACGAAAATAAAATTATAATTTATTTTTAAAAATTAAATTCGTACCACTGAACTATCCGTACACGCTATTGGTGCCGAAAGTTCTCCAATAATGTTTTGCACGTCAAACCGACATTTCTCCATGATTCGACTTTAGCTATGAATAATTCAAATGTGAGAAAATTCAAATTGAACTGAGAATGACTACTTATAATTCGTACATGTATGAAAAGCATGTCTTGACATATATTACCAACCCATTACAATATATATATATATATATNGATAGAAAGAGAGCAAATGTTAGTTCCGAAAGAGATACAATAGTTACGAGAGAGCAAAAAAGTTATGTGAGGAGTATGTAGAGAGATGTAGAGATGCTCTTCTCCGTAAAGAAAACTTACAATTTATAGACATAGAGTCTTACTTGAAAAGGTAATTTGAAGGGAAAGACACTAATTCTTTGAAAAAAATAGTTACAAAAGGTAAGTATAATTAAATGGTGAATTGATCTTCGAGAGTGGGTATCCCAATTATTACTTTTTACGTGTTTTAATCTTCTAAAATTCCTTGTATTTTGAACTGGCTCGAATTTACGAACTAAATTTGACTTACCTTTTAATTGATTTGAGCTTACTTGATTTATTGCGTCTAACCTAATTAAATGTGAACTCGTTAATGTCCAAGGTATCCTATTCGTACGAATCTGACCTCTAAACTGTCGTTTGAAGAAAAATAGACTTGTTTTCTATTTTGCTATTTTGGACAGTGTTATATATATATATGGTATCAAAAATTATTTTTAAATATCATAAAAAAATAATTTCTTACAATTAATCTTCGTTTGATTTAATTTTGACCATTGATCATAGAAATATATTTTAACTAAAATAAAAATATTTACACATATTGAATTTTTTTATTAAACTAAAAAAGAGATATGATACCAAAAAATTTCAATATTATAGTCAAATTCTTGTTTTTATAAAGAAATAATTTCTTAAAGGTAGTTTCACATTAAATCCATCACTATTCGGCGATGCCCGAATATTTGTAATCGATTATTAATTATACAGATATCATTTAAATTCGTGAGTCGTTAATGAGAAACGAAAATAAAATTATAATTTATTTTTAAAAATTAAATTCGTACCACTGAACTATCCGTACACGCTATTGGTGCCGAAAGTTCTCCAATAATGTTTTGCACGTCAAACCGACATTTCTCCATGATTCGACTTTAGCTATGAATAATTCAAATGTGAGAAAATTCAAATTGAACTGAGAATGACTACTTATAATTCGTACATGTATGAAAAGCATGTCTTGACATATATTACCAACCCATTACAATATATATATATATATACTAGTAATAATCCCGTGGGTGAAAACACTTTGTAATATAATAAATTAAAATTGATTGTGTAATTTTTATATTTTAAATAACAATTTATTTTTTTAAGCATGTTATTTAAAATTAAAGTGAATAGAAAAAAATAAGGGAGAGATGGATGTAGATTAGTAGAGTTGTCTGATATTGGAGAGTGTGTTAGTTGAATTGTTTGACACTGGAGTTCGTGCAGAGCAAACGATGTTTTTGAATGAAAAGGAATTTTGAAATATATTTCTACCATTTGATCAAATAGATAAAAATTTAATCAATTTTAACTGTTGTTATATTTTTATAAGTTGAGAATTCTAATTTTTAACTATAATATTAGATAGATATTAAAGATGAAACCCCGAGACTTGCATCCTCCACCCTGTTCCACCATCTTCATCCCGTTTTACCTCGACTTGATTAATTTGTCTATTTATAGAGTCATCTAAAGTTGAGGGTGAGTTGTTAGTAGTCTTGATAGCTGGGGCTAAAATTTTTCTCCTCGACTTCCTTCTTGAGCTTTATTGTGTTTCCCTTTCTCAGTATCATTTTTTTCTTTCTATAATTGAATGGTCTTATTTCTAGTTGGAGGTTAATTTGCCAATAATTAAATAGGTAATATTAGATTGACCAACAAAGAGGACCAAGTGTTGCGTGCATATGGGGTGAATAAAATTTGAATTTTAAGTCAATAATAGCGAGATGGAAAGTATCACGATATTATCACATCATTTTGTCTTTTTATTTTTTTCCCCTAAGTGCCATTATCATCTTCTCCCTCTCTACCAACCTTGAATTCACTACCAGGTGGTTGAAATTTGAGGTCAACAACCACCGAGTTAGAAGGAAGGCCGATTGAGTGCCATTATTATCGACACATGTGTCCTACGTCAATAGTAAGTTGCATTGTCAAGGCATAAGACATATATGTCCATGACAATGGCGCCTACGTTTACGTTGTCATCAGGTATCAATAGTAAGTGTCATTGTCATGGACAAATATGTCTTACGTCTTCACAATGACACTTACTTTTAACATAAGACATATATGTCAACCTAAGAAATATATGTGGATGACAATGTTACTTAGATTAGTTATTTTTTTTTCCCCTTTCTTGTTCGTATGCAAGATCCCATTAATTTCATTCCTAGTGGGTCCATAGGAAAATGCACTGTAAGCTTCCCCTAACATGAAATGTTTCTAGCCATATATGATGGAAAAACTCTACAAATAGCTTCAAGTTTCTTACTCTCTCTCACACTCACACAGTCTCACACAGTTATACTTAAGCAAACAAGGCCTTTGTCCCCTTTCTTTATTGTTTTGATGGAATCCCCACAATCCTCCATTAAAGCTCTGGTTAAAGAGATCAAGGAAGAGATGTTCTCTAACCTTGATCTCTACTCAATTTTTTCTCCGTCTGCTTATGATACTGCATGTTTAGCCATGATTCCCGACCCCGGACAAGACGATCGTCCGATGTTCAAAAATTGCTTGAACTGGATACTCGATAACCAGAAAGAAGAAGGGTTCTGGGGAGAGTCTAATCTTGATGGTGTTCCCTCCATTGAAACTCTCCCTACAACTCTGGCTTGTATGGTTACACTTAAAACATGGAGTGTTGGTGAAGAAAATATAGAAAAAGGTGCACGGTCTGCTGAAACTGCACACAAGAGTATCATGTTTTTTTGTTCTCTTTTTATCGAGTTAGAAACATAGTCAAAGCTGATATTTTTGACACGATACAGTAACACGACACAAATCCAACACAAATTTAGTAGATTAAGGTGAACTAATTTTGACATAAACTTGAAAATGACAAATACCTAGTAACACGAACAACAAAACAGTCAAGTTAGTGTTAAATATAAATAACTCGATTTGAGCATAGCAAACTTGTGTAATAGATAATATATGAGAAAAATATGTATCATTATAGAATGTTTTTGTAAGTATTGTACAAGTCTTGGTAGAGTTAAATGTTTTTTTTACTTGATTGTGCTATGATATGAATTAAGTGAGTGTCCTTACTTACTTAGTGGATTGTTATCGGGATATCCAACATAATTAATTAAATGTGGGAGATTACCAAAGGCCGAATGACACGACTCAAATATGAACGACAAGATAGGTTTTGTTTTCTCTTGCATATATGTCATATCTTGTTTGAGTTTTTTTCTCTCACATTTCAGGCTTGGCATTTCTCCATGCAAACACAGGGATGCTTGTAGAAGTAAATAAGCATCATTTTCCACACTGGATTACCATTGTTTTCCCTGCTATGGTTGAACTTGCACAAGCCACTGGTCTAGAGCTTCTCTTTCCTGACGAATTAAAAGGGTTAGTTTCCAACATTTTGTTGGAGAAGCATCAATTTCTTAAGATGTAAGTTTCATATATATTGATGGGATTCCAGGTATTCCAAGATGAAGACACGTGTTCTCGGTATCAGTAAATTTTTGTTACTGTAATCACGACACGTAATTGTCGGATCACAAGTCCCTCTTCCCCCCGAGGTACTGTTCATAGGGATCAATGACACCCCAGTATGTACATACCGACACGTATCCCTCGGTCAGATATGGGTACATCAGCCCCTACATGTACCACTCCCCTCGGTACCGAGATGTACCCGTCCAGGATGGCGTTCTCTGCTTCTGCAGAGGCTATTGATGTACAGGTCACTAGCCTAGGCTAGGCTAGGTTAGCCATCATGACCTCGTCTTACACAATTGGTGTCAGAAGGCAGAAGACACAGCCAATGAGGAATGAGTGCGTGGCATATTGTGTCACATCAGAGACAAAAAGACCGGATGCCCTTGCTGACACACAACTTGGGAAAAACAAGCATTTAATTAGACCATTCCCTTGATGAGACAACATTTAATGCGGTAAGGCTCGGAAGAGAAAGGTAATAAATGTCCCTGAGACTGGGTATTTATTACACCCTTGCCGAGAGGAGCTCATTAAACATTCGGCAGGCCGATGAGGCAACATTGGTTGCTCGGGGTCCCGAGTAATTAAGAGAGAAGACATTCCTCATAGGAATCAGTGTGCACGTTGCCCGTATTTAATGATCACCTACTGACCACATTAACAGCAATCATGAATTTTTGAGGTATAAATACTCCTCGCAAAAGGCAAGTCGGGATAAAACAAAAAAAACCTTCTCAAACCTATACTCAGTGTTTTCTTCTTCCCCTCTTTTAAAAACTGACTTGATCGTCGGAGGGGATACGCCGAAAAACACTCCGGCGCCCTTCTAACTTGTCTTTCTCTGTTCCAGGAACCTCCCTCAGCATTACTGGACCGCTCATTTGATCCACAAAAGTCACCCATTACCGTTCCAGGCCGCCAACAAATATCAGCCTGTTCCGAATAGCAAGGTTGATCATTTGACTGACTGACTTGAGTTCACCACGGGAGAGATCAGTTCTCGTGTTTATATTGTGCAAGATCCTGCACGCACCTATATATATATACTAGTTATTACTTGTGCTTGAAGGCACAGAGTAATAAAAAAAATTATCAATCATAAACATATTTATATTCACACCCAAAATCAAATTACAAACATAAACGAAAGAGAAATGAATTTAAGCACTGGTAAAATGGGTGATCGATGGTGGTGGTTGTGGGCGGCAATGGTGGTGGTGGGAGATGGTGATGATTTTGGTGGTGGGCGGCAACCGTGATAGTGGTGGTAACCATGGGTGGCAACGGTGATGGTGGTGGTGGGTTTTGGCTGATGATAGTGATAATGATAGCCATAGGTGACGACGATGGTGGTGATGGGTGTGGGTGGCGGTGGACAATAATAATGGTGATTGATAGTAGTGGTGGTGGGGCGATGACATTGGTGGGTTATGGCGACAGACGGGGGTGGGTGATGATGGGTGATGGTGGTTGGTGGTGATAGGTGTGGCGGGGGGGGGGGGGANGATGACATTGGTGGGTTATGGCGACAGACGGGGGTGGGTGATGATGGGTGATGGTGGTTGGTGGTGATAGGTGTGGCGGGGGTGGGTGACAATGGGTGGAGGCGACAATAGGTGTCGACGGGTGGCGGTGGGTTGTGGTAATGGGTGGTGCTGGGCAACAATGGTGGTGATGGAATGATGGTTGTGATGATAATAAATATAACAATGAGATGATGATGGTGATGGGTGGTGGCATTGGGTGGCGGTGGTAGCAATCGGTGGTGAGTGACGACTAGGGATGACAATAAAATTGGGTAAAAATAGGTATTTGTCTAAACTTGTCCTGTTTGGATTGGGGATGAGCTATACGTATTTAACGATGGTCGTATATGAAAATACTTGTATAAACCCGAGCGAAAATGAAGGTGAGGATGAACTGAGACTTACCCCCGCCCCCATCCCCGTCCTGCTTTACTCATTGTTATTGTTGTTATTATTATTTTTATTATATACATACTATTATGAATACAAATCTACATATTATTGAATGAATTTTTCTTTTAATTTTTTTTTGATTTTTTCATGTTTTTGGTTTATAACAGTGTAGATCATTGTGTTTTTATGTTTTTTGTTATGTTAAATTATGTTATGTTACGTTATGTTGTGTTGTGTTGCATGATATTGTGTTGGATTTACATATAGGATAAACTTTTAATTATATTATGTCGGATTATGTTGTAGATAATGTTTTAATTATATTATGTTGGATCATGTTGTAGAAGACAAATTTTCAATTATATTATGATATTTTATAATTATGTTGAATTATTTAAAATGTTACATTGATTTAAAATTTTGAATTATATTGGTTTGTGCTTTGACTTTGGCTTGGGTTTGGGTTTGGGTTTGGGCTTGGGCTTGGGCTGGGGTAAGGTG